AAAAAAAAAAAAAAAAAAAAAAAAAAAAAATTATTTGTAAACCCTAAACCCTAAACCCTAATTTATATGTATTTAAATATTTATAAACCCTTTGTTAATATAAACCCTAAACCCTTCTTATCTTTAATTATCCCTCTCTACTACAAAATAATACGTAAACCCTCGTAAACCCTAAACCCTCATAAACCCTCATAAACCCTCATAAACCCTAAACCCTCATAAACCCTCATAAACCCTAAACCCTAATTGTTTGTTACCTTGAAGTATCCAGCCTTAGTACAATCAAGGACGAATGCTTTGCCATTATTTCCTGTTTTTGCTTGTTGTAATGTATTAGGAGATAAAAGAGACCAAAGACGATCAACATTTATTACAGGGCAATGATATTGATTCCTTAATAGGTGAAAGTGGCGCATACCAACCTATATATATATACACAAACCCTAAACCCTAAACCCTAAACCCTAAACCCTAATTTTTTTTTTTTTTTTTTTTTTTTATCTATATTTAGTACAGGGCAATGATATTGATTCCTTAATAGGTGAAAGTGACGCATACCAACCTATATAATATATATACACACAAACCCTAAACCCTAAACCCTAGAAAACCCTAAACCCTAGAAAACCCTAAACCCTAATTTATTTTTTTTATCTATATTTATTACAGGGCAATGATATTGATTCCTTAATAAGTGAAAGTGACGCATACCAACCTATATATACACACAAACCCTAAACCCTAAACCCTAGAAAACCCTAAACCCTAATTTTTTTTATCTATATTTAGTACAGGGCAATGATATTGATTCCTTAATAAGTGAAAGTGGTGGCGCATAGCAACCTATACAGCTAAACCCTAAACCCTAAACCCTAGCAAACCCTAAACACTAAGGAACCCTAAACCCTAATTTATTTATTTTATCTACATTTATTACAGGGCAATGATATTGATTACTGGTGGCGCATACCGCATACCAACGTATACACACAAACCCTAAACCCTAAACCCTAAACCCTAAACCCTAATTCTATACTAGGTCGGAACTAATGAACGTGATGAATTCCTATATGCATATAAACCCTAAACCCTAAACCCTAAAAATACAAAAAGAAAGATGTGCGTAAAGAACAGATGAATACACACACAATGCTATAAAAGGGTTTATCTAAACCCTAAACCCTAATCCCTATAATATAAAAATATTGTGGCGTATATAGAGGTATAAATATACATATAAATAAATATAATTAAGTATATATATAAATATAAATACATATAGATGTATATATATATATATATATTAAAATATTAATATATAAATATATTAATATATCTTAAAAAAAAAATTAGGGTTTAGGGTTTAGGGTTTAGGGTTTACCTTTCCGAAATAACCAGGATGGTATTTATCAAAGTGTATTCTGTTATGATGTAAACCGCCAGCCTTGCCACGACCACCAGGATGTTTTCTATGTTTACCAACACGCCCGTGGCCTGTATATAAACCCTAAACCCTAAACCCTAAACCCTAAACCCTAGAGAAATATGTGTATATATATGTATATATATATGGGTAAGTTCAATAACAGGAGGGAAGATATAAACCCTAAACCCTAATCCTGTTTGTTCCCTTTATATATGTAGATATATAGATTTATTATTTTTATACAAACCCTAAACCCTAAACCCTAAACCCCCGCATACCTGCAGAGACGTGGCCTCTGAGCTTGCGGGTCTTCCTGAGGCGAGTCGTCATCTTGACTAAAAATTATCTGCACAATAACACAAACCCTAAACCCTAAACCCTAAACCCTTAAACATCCATATAAGGAATTTGGTAATATGCAGCTGCTGCAGCAGGGGCAGCAGCAGAGGTCCTTACTCCTGCTGCTGCTGTTGCTGCTGCTGCTGCTGCTGCGTTTGTTCAAGAAGAAAAAAGATAATTAAAAAATAAAAAACAATTAAAAGTATTTATATTATTGATTCTTTTTATTCTGCTGCTGCTGCTGCTGCTTGCGAGTATCCCCGCCACAGCGGGAGCGCCAGCAGCAGCAGCAACAGCAGCAACAGCAGCAACAGCAGCAGCAGCAGCAACATCCAATGCCTCACCCCAAGCCTCAAGAAGAATTACCCACAAAACACCAAAATCTATGGTTTTATTACCCTGCAGCAGCAGCAGCAGCAGCAAGATCTGCTGCAGCGTCCTTTCTTGTGGGGTGGGGCTGCCGTAGCCGCAGCCGCTGCAGCTGCTGCAGCCGCTACAGCAGCCGCTGCTGCTGCTGCTGTTGCTGCAGCAGCTGCAGCAGCAGCAGCATGCATGCGCTTAGCTACTTACTATCTCTAACAATAAATTTCTTGCCTAATATTGTTAATCCTCTTATTACATCAACCTACACTCAACACAGTTGCTGCTGCTGCTGCTGCTGCAGCAGCAACTGCTGCTGCTGCAGCAGCTGGTGATACAGCTGTTGCTGCAGCAGTGGTGCGTATTAGTTGTTAAAAGATCTTCAAGGAAAGCTTCTTGCTGCAGAAGCAGCAGCAGCAGCACTTGTAGAAGCAGCAGCACCTGCTGCTGCTGCACACACTTATTCTAGTAGCTGCAGCAGCAACAGCAGCAGCAGCTGCTGCTGAAGACATCTGCGTAAAGTGTATCAGCAGCAGCAGCAGCTGCAGCAGCAGCGACTGCTGCTGCTAATGCATCGCCAAGATGAGGGGGGGAGGGATACGCATTAAACCCCCAGGAGTGCGTCAGCCGAATGGCAAGTATAAACCCTAAACCCTAAACCCTAAACCCTAAACCCTTTTTTTACCTGCACACGTAGCTGTCTTCCTCTTTCTTTTTCCTTGCTGCATTTCTTTTTTCTCCTTAAAGGAATTCTTTGTCTGGTATCGAAGGGTTTAGGGTTTAGGGTTTAGGGTTTAGGGTTTAGGGTTTGTGTTTAGGGTTTTTTCGTATATGGCCACACATAGAATTTAAAAGAATGAATTATCCAACTTGGCCTCCCCCTAATTCTTCTCCTCTGCATCCAGTAGGGTTTAGGGTTTAGGGTTTAGGGTTTTTGTTGGAGGTTGGCTGAGTTTTTTAGGGAGGTAGACGGGGATGGTTGACTGACTCTCTAGGGTTTAGGGTTTAGGGTTTAGGGTTTAGGGTGTGTGCTACAGATAGAGCCTTGGGGCCGACAAGTGTTTGTATTTACTCCTTATGCTGTTGATTCTTCTGCTCCTCTCTCTGGTCCTTATCCTCGTCAGCCTCCATTAAGGGGAGTAAGTGTTTAGGGTTTAGGGTTTAGGGTTTAGGGTTTAGGGTTTGGGTCTTAGTAAGGATGTATAGGTTCTCCATAGACTCGCGTAGGAATTTTTTCTTGTGCTTGAGGGTTTAGGGTTTAGGGTTTAGGGTTTGTGTGTGTTGCAGGCAGCGCCACCTTCTCATCATTTATCTCCTCATCTTGCTTCCTTAGCAGCAGCAGCAGCAGCAGCAGCAGATCGTGCTGCTGCTGCAGTTGGTGCTGCAGGTGAATCAAGTTGGTTATGTGATTCAGCATACGAAGCAGCAAAAGAAGCAACAGCAGCAGCAGCAGCAGCAGCAACAGCAGCAGCAGCAGAATATAATGTAGGGCCCCTGCAGCAAGCAGCAAACCCTATTTTATGTATTACTGATCATGGACGTAAACCCTTGCTTTTTTTATCCAAGGAAGATCTGCTGCTGCTGCAGCAGCAAATGCAGCAAATTAAAACCCTAATACAACAATTTAAACAAAAAGCATACGTAAGATCAAGGGTTTAGGGTTTAGGGTTTAGGGTTTATGTTATGAGTCTCTATAGATTATTTAGGGTTTAGGGTTTAGGGTTTAGGGTTTATGGCATATAAATCCATCATATACAATCTCTATCCCTTCCTTCTTCTCTCATCTTAATGGTTTAATTCTTGTTTAATTAGGGTTTAGGGTCTAATTAGGGTTTAGGGTTTAGGGTTTAGGGTTTAGGGTTTAGGGTTTAGGGTTTAGGGTTTATGTGTATACAGAGGAGAAATATAGAAGAAATATATAATATTCGTCGCTTATTTCTTCCTTATAAAAGTGTAGGTATGCAAAGGATGAAGAAAGGAGAGCATGATTCTTATGGTATGAAGAAAGGAGTACAAAGAGAAAAAAAAACATAAACCCTAATTAAACCCTAATTAAACCCTAAACCCTTGATAGCATCCAGACGGGATGTATACATACTAGTATCTCCATGAGGGTCCAAGGAATTGGGAAAAAATTTAGTGTGGGGTTTATTTCTTAAGGGTTTAGGGTTTAGGGTTTAGGGTTTAGGGTTTAGGGTTTATTATAGACAACTATATATACACCCCGAACCCGAGCTCGAGGGTTTATTATTATTTTAAAACAATTTTTATTTATTTTATTTTTTGTTTTTAATTCTTTTTAATGTTTTTTTAAACCCTAAACCCTAAACCCTAAACCCTAGTTTTTTTTCTGGTGTATATATACACCGCAATTATCACTACTTGGCTACCACAGAGGAGGTGTAAAATTGATGAAATACAGAAAATAAATAAAAATAAATAAAAATAAATAAAAGAAAAATAAAATTAAATAAAGTAGAGGGAAGAATTAAGGAGAGAATTAAAACAATAAATGCAGCAGTACATTCATATCTCTCTTTCTACACTGTGTTGATGTATACACATCAGGGTGTTGATGGGGCAATTTTCCTCCCTTTTCTGCTGCGTAAATTCTTATGAATTTACTGTTTATTTAAATTAATTAATATTATTTAATTATTACAATTTAAATATTTAAAAATGGCAATAATTTACTGCAGGATTGACTGCATGTACTTCCTGTTGTTATTAAGAGCTGCCTATACACCGCAGCGTAACCATCTGTTATAGTTACAAGAAAAAAACATGAATATAAGAAATAGAAAAAAGTAAGAAACAATAAAAAAAAAAGATTTTTTTTTCTTTTTTATTTGTATAAATAAAATAAAATAAATAAAAGTATAAATAAAAAAAAAAAAATAAATATATATATATTTCCTTTTTTTTTT